GGGGGGGGGGGCGCAGCGCCCTCCCCCCAGCAGCACACCAGATCCAAAGGTGAGCAGCTCGCGCTTGCTTGCTTGCTTGCTTCCTTGTTTAGCTTCGTCTCTGCAAAGCGAACAAAAGGAAAAGCAAGCAAAAAAGAGAAAGGAGAACAGCTGCAAAAAAGCAAGAAAGAAAGAAAGAAAGAAAGACGAAGGACCAGAGGACCAAGGGACTAGCGGACCAGTGGACTAGCGGACCAGAGGACCAGCGGACCAAAGGACCAGGGGACCAGCGGACCAGAGGACCGGCCACCTACACGACTGGGAATTCCAACGGGGTTCATCGCACAACGAATACTTTTATTTGATTCAGTTTTTGATTCGGTAAATATTTTTTTGGTTCGATAAATACTTTTTTGATACCTACGCCAGTTGTCATGGGGTGCGGTCAGGGACGTCGGACTGTGTACCTGCTTTTTGTGGCGTTCTCAAGCTGTTACACTACTCTTCCGGGAAAGTGCTAGGTTTGCTCGCAGTTCAACCCTTCTTTTGACCCAATTGGTCATCTTGCGGTTTGCGAGTCAAGGGCTAAGTATTCACTTAAAGTGCTAATGCATCGTTGAGTCACCTTCAGAACTTATGCTCACCCCGGTGAGCTCTCTATCTATATATATATATATAAAGTGTGTGTGTGTGTCCACACCTGTTCCTAAGGAGTTTGCACAGAAGAATTCACTTTCGGTCGAGTTTACGAGGTTTGCAGGGGAACTGGGCACTTTGTCACTGACCCAGTTCAACGAAGCTAGGTCACAGAGTGGGACATTCGGCCTGATCAGCTGAACGTGCCTGCATCACATGTTTTGAACCACTTTCAAGCTGTCCACTACGGTGTTGTGCAGTAAGCTTCGCCTTTCCGTTCCCTCGAGTCAAGGTCTAATGCGTGTAAAATGGAATTTCTTCACCGGATTCAGCTCTTGCGAGCATCGATCTAAGTGTGTTTCGCCACAGAGTCCCACTGAGGGCTGTGGTATGATCCCCACCGAGGGGCGCAGCATGTGCACAGACCCACTTCTGGGGGACTCCCACTGATTTCCGTCAGAATATCACAGGCTCGTTTCGTTTTTGCTTGAGATTGCTGATCGAATGCCGCAGGGCTTACTGAGATCGAATGCCGCAGGGCTCACTGAATATCTTTTCATGCGAATGTGCGAAACAGTAGACGAAACGGACTCAGACGTGTCTAACGACTTCCAAAGATTTGCTTGAGGCTTTTAGGTTTCAGGTGAAGCTTTAGTCAAGGGAGCGCCGTTTACGGCCGAGCGTGAGGAGAGTGAGAAACGTGAGCAGAGGACCAATACGCAAGCAACTAAGTAATCTCTTTTGATTCTTTTGGTTTCTCTCTCGTGCTGTTGCTTTCCGTTTTCTTGAGGCCTTTCTTTAGGTTTTAGGTAACCTTCTAGTCAAGGGAGCGCCGGTTACGGCAGTGCCTTAGAGCCACACACACCCCTCCTTGCACGAGAATTCACACTTCTTATAACTAGTGGGCCTCGTAACTACTCCTATCTTTCTCTCTTGCCCTCTTCGTTTGCTCTTTCTGTCTGTTCCTTTCCTTTCTTCTAAGGCTTGTTAGGTGGCTAGTAAATCTTTTGAGCGCCGATATCGGCACTCTGTGTGTGTCCACACCTGTTCCTAAGGAGTTTGCACAGAAGAATTCACTTTCGGTCGAGTTTACGAGGTTTGCAGGGGAACTGGGCACTTTGTGACTGACCCAGTTCAACGAAGCTAGGTCACAGAGTGGGACATTCGGCCTGATCAGCTGAACGTACCTGCATCACATGTTTTGAACCACTTTCAAGCTGTCCACTACGGTGTTGTGCAGTAAGTGGCTACTGAGCGATGTTAAACAGTTCTGTTTCCGGACTCCTTCGCCTTTCCGTTCCCTCGAGTCAAGGTCTAATGCGTGTAAAATGGAACTTCTTCACCGGATTCAGCTCTTGCGAGCATCAATCTAAGAGTGTTGGGTGGCATGCCTACTCCTTGTTGTGATGCTTTGTACTGAGAAGACCCTTTGCAGCCTGAAGACCCTTTAGCGTAAGAAAATACAGCAACTTGCTGCCAGGATCTGTGACACCTTTGCTGGCACGGGTTTGGTCCTAGACTGTCCTGCCAAACATGACTCAAAATGTCTTGGGGAAGGGTGTTAACATGCCTCAATGCAAACAAATCTGTCAGTGTCTCCAATGTCGCAAACACAACTGCTTCACAAAAAAAGAAAAAGGTAAAACTGAGTAACATACTGTCAGACTCCTCTTGGAAGCCAGCCATGCGCCAAGCAGCAGAGCGTACATGCTTCTGAGATAGCAAGACCTGCAGGAGCCGTTCACCGGGAACATGCACAGTTTAGAACCTTTCCAACTAGGATGGCTCGTGGTTCGCCTCAGTTTTTCCACCTTTGCTTCATGTTGCTTCACCTTCGGTCCCTCCCCAAACAAGCCCTCAAAGAACAGGCAGCATATTCCTCCCAATTTCTCCAACAAAGCATTAAATTCTAAGACCAAAAGACAAAAGACATCCCTCGAGGCCTCAGCATTCTTCAGTAAATCTTCTTCACCGTCGTTTTGGCTGGGTGCCAGAACAGCCACATCCACCATCATCTGGTGCTTGGGTAAAAACTTCCGCTTTTGGCCTCGGGTCTGTCAAGGTGGTGACACTGAGGCCCCTAGTAGCTTCTTGTTCCTAGTAGCGATGCCAGGAGCCCCTAGTAGCGTCCTTGCTCCTAGTAGTAAGGCCAGGAGCCCTAGTAGCTTCTTGTTCCTAGAGGCACTAATTAAAGGTCTGTCAAGGTGTCAGCTTCTGCAAACGAGTTACTCCCCACTTCTGCAGAGCTCGCTCTCAGCTTCACCTTCTCAGGGGCTCGGAGGCGGCCTCACCCAGTGGCGCGCGAGCGGGTTCTCGGTGCGTCGCGGGTTTGATTCGGCCAGTCTTAGCTCAGCTTCGTTCAGCTTGGCTTTTGAAGAAGCATTGGGCTTGTCCTTCAAACAAGACATGGGCCGGTCCCCAAAAACCACGGGTCTGCCGTGTGTTGAGGAAGCTGGAGTTTGGACCGTGTTCAAAGTGTGCCTTGGAGCGCAACATCGTGGCACCCGATTGCCTCCTAACAGTCCAAGCAGCCATTGGATCTGAGCCCACAGGAACCAGCCAAGGCTGCCAGCAGCACCTCTGCGGTGCTGGTAAGCCCATGACCCAAACAGTTCATTGCCTCGTTTGCATCTGCATGAATGTCCTACCCGCCTGCGCTGCATGTGGTTGTGATATTTGCATGTATCATCATTCATGTATTTCTCAACCATCTCTCTTCCACCATCCGGTGTGATTCGCTGGCCTTAGCAGCGCCATCTTGAACTGTATGTCCTCTGCTGTGGCAGCTTTGACCACAGCAAGGTGCTGGGCTTCGTGGTGTCCAATGGAAGGGCTGTCTTTGGCACTCCTGGGGCGTTCTCTCGGGGCCCGGCTGCGCAGAAGTCTCATCGACCGATGACGAGGAAGAACATGAACATGAAAACCGGTTCACGCAAATACTCCGACGAATGATTTCAAGTTCATTTCACATGCTTCTCATATCTTCTCATCGTGGCTGTTCAGCCTGGCTGAACGTGCGGTTTCAGCAGACTTGACAAGTTGAAGCATCTAGAATCTAGATGTGGAAGAAGGGAAAGCTTGGATAAAGCAATCTAATGGACTACAACGCCGATGGCAAGCATGATTAATCTTGTTTTGCCATCTATTGTCCATCTGCCGGCTTCATGGAAAGTCCACTCGATCCCTTTGGATCAGGTCGGGTGAGCCAAGGCTCCCATGCCAACACACCGCCCGCCCGCATCGCTTAAGCCATGGCTTAAAGGAGACCCCGGTGTGGCTGCGATGTGGTTGGTGGGTCTGACTCAAATCGATTTCTGTAGATTATTTTGGTCAATTGACAGTGCCTCGCACAGGCCTGGCTTTGAAAAGAGACATTTGTCCCAAGCACTGGAAACAATATCCGAGGCTGAAGGAGGGTGATGACTTCCCCAAACCAGCAAGGATGTCCAATACAGTTCTGGAAACTGTGTACTTTCGACACTGAAGGGCTGCACTGCACTGAGAATTGAATTCCATCTCACAGGTCGGCCTTCATGCTGCAGGGTTGCACGTCTTTCGAGTCTCAAGTGTTGGAGTGAGACCTCATGTCTTGCACATGTGCATGGCTATATGCAAGGCCAACGATCTTTGGGCCTTCCAAGCTGGTCGCAAACAGGCAAAGGCCAGGCACAGGCTGGAAATTATTTTGGTGTGGCGATCTGATGGGATAAAGACATGAATGGCAGAAATGAAGGTAAAAGCATTACAGTAGATTCTGTTAGCCAAACCTGAAAGAAGAGCAATCAGAATTGAACCTTCAAAAACATTCCAAAAGCATCCGAAAGCCCAAGACCTTAGCACACCTATATAAGCAGCTCCTCAGCTCCTCCTAAAGAAGTGCAACCTTTCACGACTTCGTGCAGTTTCCTCGATCCTTGCCTCTCTGGAGCTCGCCCTCATCGCCTGGAGAACTGGAGAACTGTCGCATGCTTTCCACGAGCAGCAGCTTGTTGAAGCTGGGTCATGGAGTCATGCTACGCAAGGAACCCACCCTGGCTGGCAGGGCTGTTTTCTCCTTGCATCCGCGTCAGGTTCGCGTGCTATCTGCACAAGATCTGGCCTGTGGGCCTCAAGTGCCGATGTTCGCTTCACCCTTGACCGGCATATCCGGTGGGCGACCCGCTGGCACTCCGCAATGCCTGTCCCCGTCGCACGAAGGTATGGCAATGGGTCTCCAACTCGCTGAACTGCTGCGCGTCGGAGACCCGTGCGTGGATGCGGCGGAGCGGTGCCTCGTCCTGAGACGACGGCGACGGTGGGGCGGGGAGGCGACGACCCCGAAAGGCCTTCTGTCGATGTACGTAGGAATGAATCTAAGCACATATACCTACACATACCCCTAGAGATCCCTAGAGTAGTATAATTCTGAGATCCTCTGAGAGTCATTTCTTCTACCCTTGAGAGTTGGGCTTCATACAGCTTGGTTCCAAGGCTCGCCCTTACCTCCCCACCACTTCCGCAGCACGCCGGCCGCGCCGCCGCCGGCGGGCGGACTCGCATCGGGGGTGGCGGGCTCGGGCTCCTGCTCAGCCAGGTCGACGACCAGCTCCTGAGGGAGGGAATTGGGTTTGGTTGGCAGCTGGCACCCAGTTGGAACCAACAAAAGAAGTCACCTGGACCTGGAGTACAATGAACAGAGCATAATCACCGAAGTAGAAGTTCCTCCGTCAATGTGGAAGAAGCAAACACCCCGCGCCTGACCACGGCGCTGAAAGACGCACTTGGTCGCCCGAGGAGCATACACCGATGCCTTGACGTCTGACTCAACCAGCTCAGGAACGTTCTCCTGGTTGGACAAGCTGCAATCCCAATCGCTTCATGATATTTGGAAAGTGGGGACTTCCTGTATTTCATCGAAATCGAACTCGTTCATGGAGCTTCCCATGATCAAGAGAGCTTCAAGAAGAGATTTTGTCGCAGTTCCTGCCTCCGGACTATTCTCAGTCGTCTTCTTGGCCTTGGGGTCCGGCAAGAAGAGGTGCAAGTATCCATGAATGGTGAGGACCAATGTTGCACCCTCCCGCCACTCGCTGCCACGACCAAAGAGCCCGCTGGGCGTCATCATGGCGGCCGGCACGCGTTGCAGCACGGCACCATAGGCCGTCGGCATGTCGGGCAACCTTGCTTGGTATAGCAGGTTGATGCAGGTTGCAGAGTAGCAACTGACGGAAGGTTTGGGATAGGAGGTGGGAGAATTTGATGGACCGAGGACGAAAAGCCCAAGTGGATCCACGACGCCATCTGGGGTGGTTCAAAATTCGTGCGGAAATTCTAGCTTTCATGGATCTTGAACATCGGGTGGATAGGGAATTGCTTGGACAGGTTTTGGGCTTGCCCTTGTCATCTGCCTGGGCTTCTGCGGTCTCCCCCTTCCCGCTCCCCACACTTCAGCTGCTAAGGGCAATCTGAACCACTTGCAAGGACCTCTACACAATTATTTAGAACCCAGACTCCAATCAAGCACAGTAATTCTCGACAACTGTCGGCCTGTACTGTACGAACTAGTCCCCATGGTTCAGACAGGGTGACAACCTCCCAACTATCCGAACTATCCGAGTCGATCCGAGACTCAAAAAGCATAGGAAACAGCGCTGCTTCTCTTGAAGACTGCGGGGTTCACAGTTGTTCCTCATCTGATTTAATTCTGTACATCCTGTACCGACCACTTGCTCTGATGTTCCACTCCACCACTTTCCACCACAGTTGTCTCCAAGCCACGGCGGCAGCGTTGCCGCGGGCTCCAGCGAGCCAAGCTTTAAGCGGGGCACGTCGCTGCTCGTGTCATCGCAGCAGCTTCCTGAGTGCGGAGCAGGCGGAGCAGGCGGAGCAGGCGGAGCTTCGACCGTGCCAATTTGCCTACGCGCTTGAACTCGGATGGAGAACGGTTGGCAAAGGATTGAATAATTCGGCACCGGAGCAAAGATGCTACGATTGGAGCAAAGGGCATCGCTAAGAGCGATCGGACGCTGTTGACGTGTTGGCTCAGCAGGTCGGCCCCGTATGTGCAAGCGGAATGCCAGGATGGGCCAGGTGGGAAGCCCAGGGAAACGAGTGAGGCAGAACCCTCAGCAAACAAGTGTCTCACCTGCGAAAACGACCAAACATCCTGAAGTTTCAACCCTTCAATTCAACACTTGCGCCCCTCCATTTTCAAGCTGTGGCCGCTCTTCCCCCAAGCGACACTGTCACCCAAATCTCGACCAGGACACGGTAGGACTCGGCCAAGGAGGTCCAATACTCCGCGCGCTGCGCTTCCAAAGTCTCCAGCTGCTCGGCGCTGGACCGCAGAAGCTCCTCCACCAAGCCAAGCTCCGTGACGTGCTTGCGAGCGCGCTCGCGGTACCTGGGCGGCTGAGGACAGCCCTGTTTGGCTGGCTGAGGACACACATGGGACACAAAGGAAGCTTCGGCTGTACCTAGAATCTAGAATCCATCTCACACCTCTCACACCTCATATAGACCTGTAATGATATGTTTTAATTTGTGTTTCCAGGTTTGGAATAGGAGTTGTTCAGCTGGCCCAAAAGCTGAGTCATAGCCTGGGCACTGCACTTCACTCAGCCACGAATCAGGTGGCGCCCTTTCTTGCGAGATGGCCCGTGCCGCTTCCTGAACTGCGGCGCAGCGCAGCATCCAAATACACTTTCCATAAATGGGGGTACGTCTGAGGCATTTAGACCACATTCACACTCTCAACTTGTAACTCGAACCGGCGCAAGATCAAAGGTCAGTTCTTCGAGCGATCCGTCGTTTGTCGGCCACGTGCCACCCAGGTCTCTTCTACTCGTTCGTGATGGCTCTGCCATGCTTGCTCAGCCGCCTGGTGAGACTCGTCCCAAAGTCGGATGGCTGCCACCACACGCGAAGCCAGGTGCTCAGACAAGGCCTGAAGCCTTTGTCGCAGAGAGGTGCCACCTTCAGGTGCCGCCGCTGCCCAGAGCTTGGCTTGGCCTGCCAACATGCACATGTCGCAAAAATGTAATATCAAATTCAACCTGCCCCCCAACAATAACGCAATTGAAGTGGCAAGCACGGGCTCCCTTCAAGTCAATGGCTGATTTCTTCTTGCAAGCTCCCATCAATTCAGCAATTGGGCCCTTCATTACGCTCCCAAGTGTTTACACCTCTACTATCTCCGACATCTGAAAGAAACGCTCTCTTGCATCGGTCCACCACTCAGCTTCGCAGCATAGCTCTGCTCTGCGCCCAGCAGCCAACCAGCCACTTCGGCATCTAACTCCAGGCGCAGCGGCCGCCAACGAGTCTCCAACTCCGACAGTGCCTGGGCGGCCGCGCTGGCCGCCACCTCGTTCCTGGCAGCAGTTGAGCAGTTCTACCGGTAATTACGCAGGGGCGCGGTGCGGAATGCAGGTGGGGTGCGGGTGCGCAGAATCCTTCAGTTCCAGAGCACTGAAACCACTGCTGTCCAGCTGTCCAGCTAAGCGAGCCACTGGAGCCGAGAGGTGCCGAATCAAGCCGAATCGTCTCCCGAGAACGGAGACATGGCTGAAAAATGTTTGGCGCTGAACGCTCCAATAACTTCAGGGCTCAATGGATCTCAGCTCCAGATTCAGTTTTGGGATCTTCGTCCTCCGCGAAAACGGCCCCTGTTCACGACTCAAGCAGGCATCCAAAAGCAGTGGAGCGTGGAGTCCAAAGGCCTTGAGCCTCTTTCCGGAGCCCAAAGCAGTGGATCAAGCTTTTGGTGAGATGAACCCAGAAAGCACTGTTCAACAGTCGAATCAGCGAATCGAATGACAAAAGCTTTTGGGTAAGAACAAAACATTAAACAAGACTATGTGTATATATATATATATAAATTCCTAAATGGTCAAGACAAGCATCAGCTTCCGCCGGGATTCCAGGATAGCCAGCCAGGAGTTCAAGGACGCCAACGCGCTCTGCAGCTGCAACTGCTGTCGATGAAGTTCCTTCTCCACATGCTTCCGGCGGCACAAATGGTGTTCGTGCCGCGCGGACTCCCACTCAGATAAGAATAGGCAGCTCTCCTTCTCAGTGCTGGAAGCAGCCATGAATGGAGGCCTTGAGGCTCAAGTTCAGGTTTGTTGGCGTGCACTCACGAAGAACAGTGACAGTAGTGGCTGAGTTGAGTAGCACTTGAACATCCAAGATAGGTGGCAAACAAAAGCAACCAAAGCTGGTGAAACTGCACTCTGTGTTGAATCGAACATTGAACAGTGTTTCTAAAACCTTGGCCGGATCATCGCTCGTGATTCTTGCAGGACACTTTGAGTCAAGAAGGCCGCACGTAAACGTTCAGGCGCGATGCAGCTACTGTTCTGCTAGCATTGCCTGACATTAGAATGCCCACTCAAAGTGACATAACATGATCTTCCGTTCAAGATCCTTAAAGCAGCCCATGGCAACCCCGGCAAAAAGCCGGCCAAGCACTCCGCGCACAACTCAAACATGACGCATCCGTTCGAAAACGCTTTTGGTAGGGGGCTCCTGGTGATCGCTTCAGCCATTCTCTCAAGCAGCCTTTGTGCTTGGAGCTTAAAACACCTGCGTCACTTCCAGCTCTCTCGCAGAGTCCGATGGAAGTATTCAAAGTCAACCACGTGCTCATCGTTCCGCAAAACAACGCACGGCGAGAAACGGCAGTCCACCCGCAAGTCGCTGGCGGTGTAGGACTGCCGGGCCTCCAAGCTGTTCCCTGTGATGGGGCAGGTGCCACTGAGAACCGCCAGGACCTCGAAGAACTCCGTGCGCTGCATTGCCTCATGGAACTCGTCCAAGTTCTTTGCTGAGCACAGTGGGCTGTCGGAGTCCAAGCAATGGACGACCTTGCAAGGGAGTGTGAGAAAGAGCTTCCCATCCGCGATATTGATATTGGGCTCTTCCAGTGCCATCTGATGCACCTCCACATCAACCCGGTCGTCACTCTCCAAACCATCCAGTTCCGGCAGGTCTGGAAGCTTCTGATGCTTCACCAGGTACACTCGAATCAGCGGTTCGATCAGGGGCTTCCTGGCCACCTCACAGACACGGAAACAGAGCTTCACCGTGGCCTGTTCCATGTAGACCACCGCCACATCCGTGAAAATGATACTGGCCGAGCGGGTGAAGGCGGAGGAGAAGCGAGTATAAACCATGTTCAAGAAGATCGCGTCCATGAGGAGTGAAATCAGGGACTGCACCACCAGCAATGGAATCACTTCGCGACAGCCATCGAACATCCTGTTTTGCAGCTGCTGGGGCACAGACTGCTTCATGAAAACACTGTAGAGAATCCATGAAGTTTCACCGCTACAATTGGCTAATTTATGCCTGTTTCATCCGTCACCACCCAAAGCCTCCATCTTTTTCCATGAAACGGTCCCCCAGCCCCCCACAGGTTTCACCCCACAGCTCTACAGAGTGCTATATCTCTCATCCCAAGGGGCGGATCTGCGACGCCATAGCCGATAGTGGTCATGGTCTCCAGGGAGAGCATGAAAGCTCGACGGAAGGTCAAGGGGCGTTCCTCACAGCCAGAGGCGGCCCGTTGCCACCAGAAGGTGAAGACCAACCACATGGCCACATAGACCTGAGACACCCGGCAGACACCTGGCTCTGGGGCTTTGTGAAAAAGAACCGAGCTGGGTGCAGTTCAGCTGGGTGAAAGCTCCTTCTACAAGCTCGAGAGCTTCACAGATTGTGTTTCTACCACGGCGTACCGTAGTGTCCCAACGGACCTCTTTTGCAGGGACGGCAATGATATGTTTGTTTGAGTGACTGGGGACATGAGTGGGGCTTCTTGAGTGCTTTAGATGAAGGAACTCAACAGTTCTGAGAAATAGCCAGGAGACGACACAGTAGAGCACCAGCATCCAGCGAAGGGGCATATTCGCCTAGGTGGCCCATGGTGAGTCCAGCGGCAAGTTATTGCCACCAATTCAATGGAACCATTACATTCAATTATATAACCACTACTACAAAACATCTCCGTCTGGTCCCCATTCTTGCTTAGACACCATATAGTGGAATACATCGCTCCGGACGAACTGCTCAAAGCTGCTCACACCCACTTGACCGACCCGAAAGGAGCCCCGCGCGCGGGAGCGTGGGATGCCACGCCGGAGCAAGCCTCAGACACTCGGGGCAAGGAGGGTTGACCGTTCATGTCAGACAGCCAGAGGATATATATATATATATACAGTAATTCATCTTCCTTCTGGGTGGAACCATATGAACTACTGCCATTGCTACAGTACAAAAATCTTGATGACGAGATCTTGGACCACCTCACATGCACAAAACACTGTCGATATTGGAACGTCCCTCGTTTATGGTGGTACGAAAGGTCCCCGTTCACCTGGCCTACTTGCGCCCCGAAGAGAAAAAGGCTGACCCGCAGCCAACATGGCTCTTGCTTGGGTAGTTGCGAGAATGATGCCTTTCTCACACAAGACTCCTTGTACCAGAGGGGGGGGCACAATTATATAGTTGGAGAACAAGCACCCAACAAAGGAATGTCGCAACTCCAGGGTGGACCAAAGAGAGCATGGAAAGGTCACACACCTCAATCAGAATTCCTTGAACAAATTGGTCACCACTAAGCTCGGACCCCTACCAAATCATTCGGAGCATTCTCCGACCTGTCGCTCCCCACCGAGCTGCGTGGGGAGCGCACCGTCAGGCACTCGCACAGGCCGCCGTCCGAACCGCTCTCCGAGACCATTGGGACGAGGCTTCAAGGGCGGTCTGCCGGCTGCGCCATGGCATGATCTGCGCAAGCGCGGTGCAAGGGCGGTTGGGTGTGTTCTTTTTTCTCGCGTGGTGTGCTAGGGGAGTGGTGCCAAAACAGGACATTGCGACATCCATTTGTTCTTTTGATCTGGTTTAAAGAAGTTTCATACAGTTGTTCTAGGACCACAAGGGGTGTGGCTCGTGCGCCTTTACGCGCTTTTACGCGCCAAAGTGACAGTGCCGTAGAGATGACTCTTTCGACTGTGGATGATTATATAGTCAGAAGAGGTCTTCCATTGTTTGATCCACATGTGGAAGAACTGTTCCGAGAGGGTTTCTGATCTTTCCACATCAACGCTGTGTCTCTGTCGTGAGTGACCGTCGCAGTCTCACAGTTAAAGGTGTGTGCCTGCATTTTGTCCAGATCATGCAAGGGTGCATGCCCCAAAGACACCTAGCCCCCTCCAACCAGGTCCTAACCTGTTATGACTCATGACATACATATTCTGTCAAGCATCCGCTGACGGCCGACGGCCAGGGCTGGTCTTCGAGCCTTTGATCCAAGCTGCACACGAGCACCACACTGAATCTTCTTGTGGCTCCCAGCACCAACAAATCCATACAAATCCATGCTCTGAGCTACCTCACCATCATCAGGCGGAGTGGTTGGGTGGTTGGCCGTGTGTGTAATTCAGGGCCCAGAAATGGCTGCGCAATGCAGCAGGCGAAAGACCGATTCAGCAACGCATTAGGGACTCGCTCGCTGATCGATGGACGGGACGCCCTGGTAGGTGGCAGAAAAAAGGAAATCTAACCAATGCCTTCCATATGTTCTTCTTACAGCGCCGCCATCATAGGGGCCCTGTTCCAGTAGAAGGCTGTGCTTGGGGATTCCTCTGATTCTGCAAGTGTATGCATAACTGAAAGCGACGCTCACAGTTTTTCGGATCAGTGGTCCGCGCGATTCATGCAGCGAAGAGGGCCTCAGGCCTGCAAAAGGAGCAGTGCGAAGTGCGACGCCATTGGACAATTGGATAAACCTCCAAATGCATTCGTCGATCCACCTCACCCATCTGAATCTGATGATTCTGATGATTCTTGTGCTACATCTGAAGCCGACTGATCTACAAGTAGACGGGCATGTGTGCGGCACTAGCGCCGCACCGAATATCACGTTCGACACAAGGTGATCACGGCCCTTGGGGGCCGTGGGGCGGGCGGAGGGCCTTAAACCAGTATCAAACTTTGGCGCACTGCAATCAAAAACTGAATTTGGACGATTGGGGCAGCCGTTGAGTTCACACCTGCTTGTGTCTCTTCGCCTCTCCTGCAAGCTGAACCCACAACATCAAGAGCATGTTCAGAGACATTGTGGGGCCAGCTCACCAAGGCGCTTAAGGTTAGCAAAGTATAGCAAAGAACCAAAGGCATGTACTGGCATATAGGCTGTAGAAACTATGTGTTTGTCAGCTGCTGCCTGCCGTCCATACCGGTAGAAACCCCGAGAGCGTGTAGAAGAATCTGGTGGAAAAATAATGGATAAATCTCATCCCGGGTAGGAAACTTCACTACTTTGTCTCCCTTTTGCCTCTCGCTTTGTCTCCTGGCATCTCACTTTCCGGCGATCGCTTTTCGCCTGCAGGACGTCGGGCTCCGGCTCGGCTCCGGCTCGCCATGCGCAAAAGCCGGCCAAGCAAGAGGGACTTCCTTTCTCTGACTCTCTCTCTCTCTCTCTCTGTTTATTGCATTTGTCTCTTGCTCTTCCCTTGCAGGCTGTGGCATACGCATCAGACGACGCATCTTCGGCCTCTTTGTGGCTGAACGCTATCTGCTTCCTCGCCTCTCCAGTGACAAGGAAAACGAAAACCCTTCGGGCGGGAGTAGTGGCAGAATCTTCGGGCCAAAAAGAAGATCAAAAGATCTGCAAAAAGCACTGTGAAAGTCTAGAGCCCAGCTCCACAGCGGCCACCTTCACGCTGAAACATGGCTTCTCAAGTCCGATGCGCAAAAACAAGTGCAATATGTTCCGAAGCTGTTCGGCCATGTTCGGCAGGTCACCGCAGCTCCTGTTCTGTGGTCTTTTGATCCAAATGTTCTGCGGCGTGCGCCTCCAACCGTCAACGGCGCACCTCCTTCAGGCGGCGGCACCTCAGCAAGTGAAAACCCGCTGTTGGGGGAGAATGTACCACACCCTAGTAGCGTCCTTGCTCCTAGTAGTACGGCCAGGAGCCCCTAGTAGCACCCGGTGTCTACACCTCACATCATGCGACCTTGTCTTCCTTCAGTAACTCTCTTGGTAACACGAGTGGCAAAGCTACCAACCGTCGAATCTTGAAGACCACTTCAGATCCGTCAAGTTGACTTCGGCCCGCGGTGGACTGACTTCAACCCTGCGCAACTGCCAAAGGAGACCTTTTTTTCATGTGCAGCTGCTGAAAATTGCGTCAACCCACGGTGTAGATGCGCTTGAAAACCAGCTCCATTGAACCTGGACGTTGGGTCCATCACGAAGGCCGTTGTGCACAAAATAATCCAAGGTCACAAAAATGGTATCATCAATTCTTCTGCCTTCTCCCTCCCCCTCCCGCCCTCCCTCCCTCCCTCCCTCCATCCATCCATCCATCCCTCCATCGCCCGCCTTCGGCGTCGATCAGGACTTGGATCGCCTCCTCATAAGGCATCCCGTCGACCTCCTTGCCATTCACGGAGAACAAGTAGTCTCCTCGCTCAACTTCATCGTTCCGGTAGGCTGAGCCCTCCTGAAACAAAGGCTTTCGGTCTGCAGGGGCTGGGGCGAATCCAAAAGCACGGAGAGCGACCAGAATTTGCAGAGCAGGTTCAAACATGAGCGCGTATGTACTGGCAGAAACCTGGAAAGCATATGGAAGTATAGTTTGAAAAGATGTAGTTAGTAGATAGTATAGAGGCTATCTGTATCTATCACAATATCATCAGTCCTCGAGAATGGCGCTCACCCAAGCTCTGTTTGGCTCGGTGTCGAACTTTTCAAACTCAATGCCCAAGGGCTTCATCAGATTAACCTGCCAGATCTGTGCACTTCATCAAATCAACAGACCTGACCTCTCCAAAAGGGCCCTTTGGCCGAAAGGAAATCCATCGAAACGGGCGGACCAATCCCTCATCCCTCGACTCAAAACGCGGAGCGGACACCGCGGCGCCTTGATGTCGACGGTGGCTTCGGAGCGGCCCACCACGTCAGTCATCCCCTTCCGCTGCACGGCGTTCCACATCGCCAACTTCCGGAGCCGCACCTTCTTCTCCCGGGCCGTCTCCTGGAGCGGAGCGCGGCCAGCACACAGCTTAGCTATTGAGAAACGTCCAAGCACGAGAAATGCCAGGAGCCCCGTTCGTAGCGTTCTTGCTCCTACAAGCCCCAATAATAGGTTCAAAGCACATCTTAGCAAAAGTTTATAAGCGACAATGCCAAGCGCAAGTCCATGTCAGAATTTGGTGCATTCGCGTTTCTCGTTGGGCAATTTGAGAAACATTTGCTTCAGTGTCAGTGTGGCTCTCCCGTTCCTTGTAATTAGGCTGCAGCTTCCTCTTTCGGGCAGCGATGATTTCTTGTTGCCTCTGGAAGGCAGCATCCTTTGGATCGATGTACTCCTCTCCTTCCTGCAGCTCTCCGCCCTTCTCTGGCTCCCCTAGCCCGCCCAAGAAGCTGCTGGACCAAACGCTGCAACACCTCGTTGTGCGATGCTGAGCCCTCGAAATTGGGACGGTCACTTTTTCGGATTTGGTCTCGAGCGTGATTATTACTAGTGATAGTGTGTGTTTGTGTGTCTCCCAAACTACCAACATGGTCAAACCCTCCAAATGTTCCAAAGCAACCCTTGCTCAGCTGGCCAAGGCGCCAAAGGCTGAGCAAGCCAAGAAGCCATCTCCGTCCCATGGCTCGAACGGGCTTCCACCCACGGGCGCAGCGCGGTCCAGCGCGGTACGGCGCGGTCGCTCTCCCCACGGGATCCTTCGGTCCCAGCGCGTGGGTCTTGAGGCTTCAAAACCTCCGGCTTTGGACGGAACGTCGACGGCCTGCAGACGTTCATCCTGGCAATGTTTCTGCCGACAGATAGGATCATTTGGTGTGCAATCAGAAAAACGGAAGATGTCTCACTCGTATGTGACTTAGAATTGTCTCCTAGATCAGCTGGAAAGCCCTTTTGAAGATGATCCAACTCGGCATCGATACGAAGCAACTGGCCCGCCAGTGTGAACTCCCGACTCGAATTCTTGTGCGGCCAAGCGGCTTCTTTGTCCAAGCCTCGGCAACACACATACAAACACGCAGGGTTTATATTTATATATTTATATACAGTATATATGTCATGACTATACATGACAGGTACACAAGCCCAAGTCGGAGGGGAAGCACATGTCATCCAGCGCCTGCAGCAGTTGCTTGACCCTCCACATAAAGGAATCCGGTGGGATGCACACCAGCAATGCTGGGATCCCAACAGGCCGTCAATTGCCGGATGCTGGCCAAGGCGCCAAGCAAGTGCTGCTTCACCAAAGCGCCTCAAACGGCGAATGCAAACACAAAGCTTCTGGTCTCCAGGTCTGGGCTTAGTCCTGCAATGTTCTACTTTGGCGGTTCTCTGCAGGTGCTCTTCCAATCAATGGGTCATCTGAGATCATGAAAGCAGTCAGCGCCCTAAAAACCCGCCGAGCGGCCGATTCGCTCGACGTCCTCCTCGCTGAAGCGCTTCTCGCAATCTTCGCAGAGGCTGTAGAAGTACAAGGGCTCCGTCGGGGTCAAGTTGATGATCCTCAGCCATTGTCAGGCTTACACCAAGGGCCCTGTTACTCTCCCCGCGAACGAGCGTGATTCAGTGATTTAGGATGGCCCTTCTTCCGCACGAAAAGCAAGCGAAAAAAGAAACCCAACAAACGCTCATGCGGCTCCACTTGCCTCCGCTTTCAGGGACACACATCCCGCACCAAAGCACATCTTCCCTAGACTCCCAACCACACGACCTGGTAAACCGCAAAGAGAGGCACTGCCTGCACCACACACAATTATCCAGCTCATCACAGCCAAGAAAGGGCAAATCACCATAGGCCAACACTGACGAAATCCGAAAATAATTGACATCAATCGCCTACGCCCCGCTGCAATCGTCTGTCAAAGGCTGCTGTTTGGTTCACACGAGATTTGTGCCCAGCCCACAGGATGTGTCAAAGCTCTGCAGCACTTCGTCATCCGACAGCTCCAAATCCTCGGCAGGGCCATGACCGCTTCTCTTTTGGAGCCACACCGACGAAATCCGCTGGACATGGAGAATGCCGATGATCCCTGGACCGAGGACCCACCGAGGTTACAAGAAAACGAGTGCCGACTGGGACGGAGGGAGCGACTAGGTCTGCAGTCGTAGCGGGAGAAGGAGAGATTGCCTTCGAAAGGGCTGTTGACTGCCGTCTGTAACTTCAATCCCTCAGGGACATGAGGTATGCCGCAATTGTTTTGTTGTTTCATTCCAGGCCCGCAACTGCATGCCAAAAGGTGTTTGCCCCCCGTTGCCCCCAAAGATAATCCTCCCAATATGCGAGTGGGCCCCGGGCCCAAATCATGCTTCAGTGTTCAGGTCCAAGCATCAGCTATACCTGCCAAAAACTCATCAATGGCGGCACGTTTGGCTTGGATACCTGGCAGAGTTCACGGAGAGGTCACGGTGCTTGTCATCTTGGGTCTTGGAAATGGCTAAGCAGGTTGACACAAATGAACAAATTTAACAATGTGTTGGGCTCCAGCACAATCACGACAGGTCAAAACTACATCATGCAATGTGATGTGATATTCCCCAGCCTGGATAGCAAGTCTCCAAGTAGTTCAGCAACTGCTTATCCTTTGCTTTGGAGTGGGCTATTCAGGACATTTATCCAAATAGGCGCCAGATGGTAATCCAAAGATTGTCAATGAGTACTCTCGCGCCCGGAGAAGGGGTGAAAAAGGGGGCTTCACATGGCGGCCCCCTTTTAGACCAAGGGGCTGAGTCGAGTTGTCGTTGGAGACCTTCCCTCTGGTCACGCAAGGTGAGGTGCTGATCCAAGCGATCCCTCCTGCCGGGATAACGCGAAAGTTGTGTGACCCATTCGTCAAGTGAGGAACATGAAGAACAGCCGAACCCATCTTGGGGGCTGGTCTTCAAGTCAATGAAGTGTCTGGTCCCAGCAATGTCGACTGGGCCAAAGGCTTGGGAGGACTGCAGCGCTTTCCCTCCATCAGACACTGAAACACAACAGTGCAGCAAAGCATAGCAAAGCTATGCCGTCTCCAGTGCTGTCCTGCGAATGAGATCCGGGAGCTCTTGCTTGATGATTGCGTAGACCTGGCACGGGTCCGGTGTCATGGTGACAAACGGATGACACCAGCAGGTTGCACGCCTGCAACAGCAGAAGCAAACAACTTGTGTCCAACAAAAAAGGACCTGGTAGCTTTGAAACCGTGAATGTCTCCATATATTGTTCAGTTATGACTCATGACATCAAATCACGACCGGAGGACACCTTCCTAAAGCTTTCTTTCCCGGCCGGGGCCGGGGAAACCACGTCCAGCGCTCGCCGCAACGGCCCCTGGCCTCCTGGTTGGTGAGGAAATGGGGCCCAACTTGCAGGATCTTCATGGCAGCTTTGGCCAACAGGAGAGGATTCGAACAAGCCCTGCTCTTGGAGAACTCCAGGAGGATTTGGAAGGAATTGTCAAGTGGAAAGCAAATGAGACATCAAATAACAACACGTCTTGGAGCCCGCAGGCCATAGATTGAGTGTTTTCAATCTCTTGATTTCTCTTCTCTGAAACAGGCATCAAGTCCTTCCGCACATGAAAAGACACATGGGGAGTGTATTAGTGCATTGATGAAAATGCTGTGAGGTTCTCTCGTGCCATTGGCAACTGAGTGAAGCAGAATACAAAAGAAGCTTATGCTTACTGCTCACACCACGGTGCTTGCCGCATCTGCTGAGCCCAACTCGTACGACCCGTGGTGGCCCGTGTGGTGGTCAAATGTCACCCATTTGGAGATGCCTGGTGAGAAAGGAATGGCAAAGTTGAACTGCAAGAACAACTGTGGCCAAGTAGCACCAGCACGAAGGATGCTACTATTTCCCTTACTTAGCACTTATAGCCTATATACCCCCACCTAAAAGAACCCGGCATTCATTTCAGTGGATCTGTGAATATGTTTCCCTCCGGGTCCAACAAAAAAGCTCAGCTCTCGCGCTCCATGCATTTCCTGCACACGATGGCCATCAACTCATCTGACACAAGGGGATGTGGTCCGAAAAGAAAGCTACAACAGGTGAGCTGCTTTGTACACCTAATCATTACCTAATCCCTGATCACAACTTCAAACTGAATACGCTTCGGGCGGATCATGTTGAACTCATTACTCCACCGAAGGACGATCAAGCCACTCTTGGGCGAAAGCACTTCTCCGCTGTTCTCACCATCCAAGCTTTTCCAGAAATCAAGGTCACGGAGGATGTCTTCCTGTAAACCTTGGTACTCAGAGTCATCACTCTCCTCCCTAACCAGGTCAAGCGCACCTCCATCCTCGACGACCATCGCAGGCTTAACGGCGGGCTTGGCCGTCCCTTGCCCCGAGCGGGCACCGGGTTTCCGGCGAAGCACTTCCTCCACTTCGTCCTCGTCGTCCAGGTCCCAAATTCCCACCACAGAAAATTGGATTTCAGGTGGTGGGAGGAGAATCCCACCTGCCATCACCAGAAACTTCCAGCAGACTCGCTGTCCACTGCGAACCTCCATAGCTTTCTCCAACACCTGGCCGCGACCAATGTAGTGCATGTTTGCATCACACTTCTCGCTTTCTTCTTTGACCCTGTATCTGAACTCGCGCAACTCCCGTAGCTGGCTGACCTCAACCACACTTAGCAAGCTCGGATCCTGCTCGCCGTCACCGTTGCACAGAAACCAGTTGTCCACCTTGATCTTGAGAGCCCGCTTAGCCCAGGGGAAAATCTTCTGCATGATCCAGGGCGCATTGATGACCCAGTTGCCAGCAGTGAGATCTGGAACTAGCTTCTCCAGCCGCTGCATCATCTTTTCTGCTCGTTGATCAAACTCTTTACAAATGACCTGGATCTTGAAACTGCTCATACCGGGCAGAAATTCAAAAGTAGTGTAAATGCCTGTGGCCTCACCTGAAGTAGGTCACAAGAGCTTGCCAACCACACCTAGGGTTGGGTGTTCATTGGGATGTTGCTCACTTGGTGCATTTCCGAACATCTGTTGGTTCCCCCGTTCCGGCACCTTGGAAAGAGTGCAGCCGGTCACATCGATGACGTTCACCACGCGGCACAAGCGTTCCTGCCGTCGGCTCATGCGATCCAGCTCGATGGCTCGGAGCAACCAGCCGTGGAGAACGAAGCGCTCGTAGCGCTCGAAGGCACCTCCGGACGCTGGGAAGACGGATGAGGTGATGATGATGGTGATGACATCAGATCATAGTGATGATGATGATGATGATGATAAGGGCCACTAGCTTCAAGCCCCATTCCATCAATTGGAACGGGCTAGTGCGGGACCCCGCGCCTCATGGTCATCTTGACCTTTGTGGCCGCCCTGATCCTCGAGGCCATCAGGTACCGGGACTTCATCCGCCAACTTGGTGGACATCCTCCTGAACCTCTCTTCAAGGCGGTCCCTGAGGGCGGCACGGTCATTCTGATTGTGGTTCTCTTTTTTCAGGTCTTTAACCTTCTTCTCCTCTCGAGCTTTGAGACCTACAAGAACACTTCTACCGTGAGCGGACGACGATTCTGGTCAAGGAGAACCACCTCCCAGGTCCTTGCACTGGCTCCTAGAGCTAGCTGGGGTCCCAAGTCCCCAGCCAGGGCTGGCACCTTCCTCCTCCTCCTCTGCGGCCTTCTTGGGGTCTATCACGAGGACTTCATGACTAAGCTCAATGCCAATGCCATGCCCTGGTGGCCCGAGGGTTCCGGACCAGCCACACGGTCCGGTGAAGCCAACAAGACCTTTGCCATTCAGTTCACCAACACGGCAAAGCCAGTGGCCTTGGATCCACACACCAACGTCTGGACAATTGCCAGCACTTTCCCAAGAAGAAATCCTACATTCGTGCACTCAAGCGGGCCCAACTTCACGGGCACACATGGTACAAAGGGAAGCTCTATACGGCTCAGATGCTTGGAGTCACTCCACTTCCCTGGCAGGCCTCTGACACTCCAACGACTTCCTTGGGGCAACCCAATTCATCACCACCTGCCAAACTACGGAAGAACAGGCTTCAAGGACTCAGCTGGAACATCGGCTCCCTGGGCACCTACAAATTTGACATCCTCAGGCAATGGCTGCATCAACAGCAACTTGATCTAATTCAGCTTCAAGACACACGGTGGGGCTTCACAGGTGATTGGACTGACAACACCTTTGCATATATCCACAGTGGATCTCAAGATCGAGCAGGAGGGCTACTGACCATCATCCGGAAGGCCTTCTGCCCTCCAGACCGGCTCTCCTGGAGAGAGGTTACTCCAGGACGGCTTCTGCATGTCCGGCTCTACCTTGAATCCACGGGCCTCGACCTGGTCAACTTCTACCAGCATCCATGGACTGGATCTGACCAGCAATGCCAGGACAAACGCTCCGGACTTCTGGGCGCCTTGGATGGCCTTTTGGCAGGTCTTCCTCAACGGAATGTGGTCATCCTGGCCGGTGACTTCAATAGCAGCTTGCCTCGGACCCCGCACTGTGTCGGACTTCATGACTTCCAAGGCCGACGAGGGAGACTTTCTGGCACTCAACACCAGGATGCACATCTCTTGGCTGGCATTCTACCCAGGAGGGGGCTCCTGGCCATCAACACCTGGGACACCTCGCTTGGTCCCACCTATCGGGGCGGCCTGGGGCATCTATCTCGGATTGACTATGTCATGGTCCGACACAAAACCAGTGACTCCATCACGAAGAAACCTATCTACCTGGAACACCTCCCAGGCAAGTTTGGTCACACCAAGGACCATGCGCCGATTCTGTTCAATCTTCCCTACAAATGGCGGGGATGGAAGCCACCTCCCTCGGGCCTGAACAGGATCCAACAAGATCTTCTTCAACGGCACTGGCACCTTCAGAGTATGGATTGGCACCACTGGTGTCAGGACCTTGGCAACCGGATTGACAATCTTCGGGATCAAACACCAAATCTGGAAGCTCTCAACCAGGTCCTGATGGATGCGTGTTTTTCTTTCCAGCCTTCTGGGCGGTCTGACAAACCTTCAACCACCAACTATTGGTCCTGGGCCTCTACACTATCCCGGCTACATCTTCCTGATGTCGCTCAGCGGGCTCACCACTCATCCAGGCAGGAGCAAATTTTTGGCTCTTGGCTTCGAGTGACTCGGATTCAAAAATGGCGAAGGGCGGCCACCAAATCGGCCAGGGAAGCGAAAAAACTGAAACTTCAGGACACCATTGATACCGCCAGGCATCACTGGTCCACCAACGACACCCGACGCTACTTCAAGGTGGTCAACTAAGCATGAGGGTATGCTCATGCCCCCTGAAGATGAACTGAGGTGGATTCTTGACTACATGGAAGGGGTTTATGCGGGGACTGACCTGCCAGGAGCCAACTTTCACCTTCATGCACTGCCTTTTGGACCAGGTGACATCACACACTCACTGCGCTCCTTGTATGGACACACCAGTGTCCCTGCGCACGTGGCGCCCAGCTTCATTTGGAAATCCATGGCTGAGGAACTGGGCAGCTTGCTCTACTCCTGGCTATCACAATGGCTGGCTGCAGGCCACATCCCCCGGGAATGGCGGACAGGATGGGTAGTTCTCCTTCCCAAGCCCAACAAGAAGGTCATTGAACCTAAAGCTCTGCGACCTATTGCCTTGCAAACACCTCTTTCGAAGACCATCATGTCCATGTTTGTTCACGAGGCCAAAAAACATACTCTTCGTGCTCTCACATGGTTTCCGCAATTTGCCTATTTACCTGGTAGAGGCACTTGGGAAGCCATCACACGTGTCCAAGCTCATGCCAGGGCAGTACAAGCACTTCATCACAAATGGCGATATGAGGCTGGCAAAGTTCAGGCACCTGGGGAGAAAAAACCTCCGGTCTTTGGCGGATGTCAACTTTTTCTTGACATGACGGGCGCCTTTGATGCAATGCCCAGGGAACACCTGCGAGAGGCCTTTAACCTCCTTGGTCTTCCCCATGATCTCTCAGCTCTTCTGTTGTGTTGGCACACAGAAACCTCCTACATTGTTCAATGGAAAGGACTCTCTGCCGTACAACCCACTCATAGAGGTGTGAGACAAGGCTGCAGAGGTGCTCCCTTCTTTTGGGCATGCTTCATAGCACTGGCACTTGAACGCGTGGCGGCGGAGACCTCTACCAATTGGATGAGGGAATGCTGCACCTTTTATGCCGATGACGGGCATGCCTGCTTTATCTTTCATGATTTTGACGAACTTCACTTTGGGTTGGTTTGTTTTGGGAAGCTGATCACCATTCTGGAACAGCTGGGCATGACCGTGAATATGCACAAGTCAGCAGTTGTTGTCCGCTGGGGTGGCACGAAACACCAACAAGCGCGGAAGCTGTATGTGAAAAGGAAGCTGGATCATCAAGCGCTCCGCATTCCAAAAGATGATGACACATTTCATGAAATTCCAATCAAAGAGAAGCACGAATATCTTGGTATTCAGATGGGATATTTTAATTTTCAGCGGGATACAATGAAGGCCAGACTTCAAGCAAGCAAACTTCGATTCAAACAAATGCATCGTTGGTTTTCCCAGAACTCCATGCACGCGGCACAGCAGGTGGCTCTTTGGCAAACATGCATTCTTCCCACAGGGATCTATGGACTTGATGCAACAGGAACCGACAGCACCAGCATTCCCATTTTCTCCAAGGCCATGACCACGATGCTGAGACAAGCAGCAGGAGATCACTCATTTCAGACTCACAAGTCCCATCATGCCTTTTTTCTTGAGCACCACCTGCAACACCCGGTTGCTGTGCTGCGGGGGCGGATGGCCTCTCAACTACACCGACACGAGGCAAGACTTGTTCAACTGCATGAGATGGACGTTCTTCACACTTTGGACTTGGACTCCCTTCGATGCTCAATCAATCTTGTTGACACATGGCTGCAGGAACTCAGCACATCAGAACCGGGCAATTCTCTTCCTCTCGCAGAGGCAGGACTGGAATGTTACACCTGTGGGCTCATGTTTCGTCACTACTACACGCTCAAAAGACATGAAACATTTTCGCATGGGATTCTTCACATCAACGGTCCTCCACTGGATATTGGTAGAGACTCGATTGATGGCAGACCAACCTGCAGACATTGTGGCGAACATTTCATTAGCTGGCAGAACTTCCGACATCACATCTCCTCGTTCGCATGTACCAACTTCGATCCAACCAAGGCACCTCCGGAACAACTTCATGCCTTCCGGACTCGGCTGCTGGACTACTATGATGGAGGAGACCTGGAACCACTGGTTAGAGATCGTCCGCTTTGCTACTTTCTTTCCCAGCGGTGCATACTTTGTGGATTTTGGTCCTCGAGACTTCAGCAGATGTCTGCACACATGGGGAGAGATCATGGGGACATCTATGCTCTCATGGGGGACGTTCTCCCCAATGTGGTGAGGGCTCGCGCCTCCTCTCCATGCGAACTTTGTGAACAAGCTTTTCGGAGCAGGACCCACACATGTCCAGTGAAGAAGCAGCTGGGCCTAGCCTTGGCCTACCGGAAGCACCGGGAGCAATTCCCGGCAAGTCCTCCACCTGTTCCACAACCTCCTCAAAGGATGGAAGCCCAATTCTCCTGTGGACTTTGTCCTCGGAAGTTTGTGACCGCGGCAGGCCTTCAACAGCATCAGGTCTTGGATCATACTCACTCCACGACGACTAGGACCTTTGTGGCTGGCCGAGATCAAGTACCTGGGCAGACTCAATGTGCACATTGTCACTCCAAGTTCCTGAGTCTGGCCGCTCTACGGCACCACATTGATGGAGGACACTGCTCCACTCCACCTGACGACGACCCGCCCCTCCTGTGGCATCATCCGCTGATCATCTCTGGACTTCATGGCGGGACCTTTGACCATCTCATGGCCTACAAGTCCCTGATTCGGCGACTTGGGTACATCTGCGGACTTTGTGGACATCAGTCTGGGAGCTCAGTTTCCTTGCTGAAACACCTGGGGAACCATCACAATGAGCACTGGCCACAAGCCACCACTTATGCGGAATGGCTTCAAACGGATAGTGCCTTGCGGAACCTGGGATGCTCCTGCCTTCGGCCGCCTACAACACCACATGTCTGCACAGTCTTCACACAGCTGGCCCTCTTTGTCCACCATGACTTGACCAGACTTCATGGAGGCAGTGATGATTTGATAATGTCCTATGCTCTTCGGCTTGATCTTCAAGTTTTGAGCCCTACCATCTCGCTCTCCTTCCCTGACATGGACAGCAAACTTGCTACTGGTCTCTTTGCAGAGCTCCTTGAGGATGACACGCTTTGCACAGCCCTTAGCACCTGGTGTTGTCTGTGCGGGAGGCAGATTGATCCACGTGACATGCTCCAACACCTGTGGAATCAACATGCCAAACATGCCAACAGGGGCAGTTTGTTTTACAAGTACCTCACCATGTTTCAAGT